GGGGCCTGTGCGGGCGGTGAGTGGCCCCCGGGGCGGGAGCTGCGCGGACCTTGCGGCACTGTGTGCCTGATCGCTCGGGTGGTCCTTCCCGTGTGCGTGTTTGCGGTCGGGGCCGGCCCCGAGACCCGCGGGTTGGGGGTGTCAGGGCTGTCCCTCCTCACCCTCGCGGCATGTCCAGACCACTGTTAGCTGTGAGGGCCGGGGGGATGGGGTATATGTGTGTGTAAGGCCAGGGCTGTGCGGGTTTCCCCCGCTCACCTCCGGGCTGTGTGTGTGTGTGTGTGTGTGTGTGCATCTGTTGGTGTTTGTGTCCCTATTCCCCCTCAGTTACAGCGCCCAGCCCTCCCTCCGTGTCGCTGCAACAGGTCAAGTGGGAATGACTTTAAACTAAAAGAGGGGAGGTTTAGATTGAATATTAGGAAAAAATTCTTACCGTGAGGGTGGTGAGGCACTGGCACAGGTTGCCCAGGGAACCTGTGGATGCCCCATCCCTGGCAGTGTTCAAGGCCAGGCTGGATGGGGCCCTGAGCAACCCGGTCTAGTGGAGGTGTCCCTGCCCGTGGCAGGGGGGTTAAAACGAAATGCAACTTTAAAGTCCCTTCCAACCCAGACCATTCTGTGATTCTGTGATTCCATGTCCACTGTTGTTCTTTTTTTTGGCAGGTGTGCACCAGGGCTGTCCAAGCCATGATCGAGGTGTTGGCCAAGCTGGGCCGTGGGCCTGTGTTCCTGGCAGGGGAGGTGCTGGAGTGTGTGATCACTTTCACCAACCCCTTGTCGGCCTCTTCGACCTCCGCCAGCAGGTACAGGGCCTATGTTAGTCTGTGCATGCAGCCTCCAAATGTTGGAACTGCCTGGGTCCCTAACCCAGCCTCTCTCCCTCCGGAGCAGCACTCATGGCTGAGGTGTGGGGCAATGGTGCCAGCTCAGCCCACTGTGACTTCCCTGCCCGATGCACTCCCTTAAGGGGGCTTTGTGCTATCGCTGTTTCAGGGATGAAGCTGAGGTAAATTCTTCTGGTCTCCTGCCCCCAGGAAGGAGGCAAGGAAAGAAGTATGCAGGTAGAGATTCTCTGCCCCTCAGGTGAGCCCTCAGTGACAGGGTTACTGACGGAAGATGAAGCCAAACTGGCTGTCAAAGCAGGATATCTGGTTACACCAGGGTGACAGTCCCTCAGAGCAACATCCAGGCAGCGTCATTATTTCCTGTGCTTCTGGAAGGAGCTCTCTCTACCCAGCAGTGCTGCAGGGATCAGTGTGATCCCTGCCTCCAGAGATGGCAGGCACAGGAGTGAGCACTGTCAAGGGTCAGAAAGAGGCACCTTCTCTGACAGCAGTTCCTATGGCCCAGCCTTTGATTGAGTGCTGCATCTCCCCTTATCATCACTGTCCCTAAAATCAGCGTTGAGGAAATGTAAGAAGATGGGAGCTTCCCATATTGGCTCACAGGGGGTGACTCTGTGTCACAAGTAATCACCCAGAGCCTCCATGTCCGCTGAGTGTGTGGCCTTGTCTGATTCTTCAGGGGGTGGAGAGTGCTTTCTCATCTCTAGACCTTCCTGGGAAGTGTCTGTTTCCAGCCCTGTCATGTTCAGCATCTTTTCATCACCGGGATGAGATTCACACATGTTTGCTTTGGTGGGCCCACTCCCAGTGCTTGCAGTCTCAGCAGCAGAGCAATCTCTTGTATTACCACTGTGGGGCTTCTATGTTTATTGCCTTCCTTAACTTTTCATCTTTTCTTCCTGCTTCCTCTTGCCTGCTGAATTCAGCTTTCAAATTCAGCTGTGGCACAAGTATCCAGCTTCTGAGCTTCCATCGGTGTTCTGTCCTGTGCAAGGACTGAGTCATTCTTCCTGCTTCTAAAACGTGTGGGACTGCAAGGGTACCAGCTGGAATGGTTTTGTAGGTTTGCAGTTTACCAAGGCTTCATTTGGGGACTTGAAGTGTGTGGTGCTCTGTAGAAGACTGCCTCTTGGAAAAAGTTCTTAAAATCAAACAAACAAACAAACAAATAATCAATCTGACGAGACCTGGCCAAATGATGCAAGTGGTGACAGCAAATAGGTTGGTGGTTTGGAAATTGAAGCTGTGGGTTGCATAAAGGCAGGAGCCAAATTAAACCACGGCGACTGCACAGCAGGCAGATGGACCTGTCAGGGACTGGAAGGTTTTGGAGCTGACAGGTGGAGGGATGGAGAGGCACACATTTGGAGCGCAGGGACAGAACTGAAGGAATAGTAGGAGGTAAATTGATTGTGGAGTATGAGGTATACAAGAAACAAAGCTCTTCTGCCCAGAGCCTGTGTGGACTACTGGAGCTATGAGGAAGGTGAGGCAGGAGGGAAGTGACCTCAGCACCAGTGCAGGATCCTTCTGTGCCTCACCAGCTGGACAAGCCAGGTCTGCTGGCAGGAAGGGGCATGCAAATTTTGGTTGGATGTCTGGTTAGAAAAAAATGAAAACAATCCAGTGGCGTATTGTTGGGCAACACTGAAAAAGAAAGAAAAAATATTCAAAAGGTGGTGTTTGAAGGCACTGTAAGCTTATATAAAATTAGTAACATTGCCTCAAGCAAGAGCAGTTCTCTTTTTCCATTACTTTACAGAAAAAAAAAAAAAGCCCTGATGGAAGAGCCGTGCTGGTATTTTTAGAGAATGCAAAGTTACAACTGTAGGATTAGAAGCAACTGGGTAGAGTAACCAAAGTGTGTTTGAGCAAAGGCAGCCAGCACATACAAAAGATCAAATAGTGCATCCTTAGTCAGCTGACACGCCTTTTCCCCTGGTTCATCTAGACCTTTAACTGCTCTGATGTGTCACACCAAGAGACACCCATGTGCCGCAAAAAATCCCTCTGCCACCTAAGGCGCTGGTGTCAGTGCTTACTAATCAGATCATGATGTTAGAAAACACCACAGGAATCATACTGTGGCTAAACTGTAGAAATAAAAACTACTGAAATAAAACTGGATGAGTGATTTGGAAACTGAAAGGTCTCAGTAATGCCATGGGAAATGCCTTGTGGAGTGGCTGAGGACGTAAGCAGAGTCCAAAACATGAGACTGTTTTTCGTGCTGGATGCGTGGCCCTACATTCATTCCTGTGGCTGTTCAGAGAGGGGACAAAATGACACCTTTGCCTCCCCCGTAGCTGTCAGCAAACCCCTTGCATCAGGAGGGGAAAATAGGTCCTTGTGAAAGACCCAGAAGCATCCTGCTCTGGTCTGACACAACCAGCAGCTGATGTTGACGGGGATGGGAGCTGATGTTGTGGGGAGGGAGGGAGGAAGCATGTCTGTGCCCTGCCTGCCCCAAGGAGTATTGAGCTTGGGGCAGCTGGGAGCTGTGGGCAGGGGCAGTTGAACCCAGCTTGCAGGTATTTGTTGCTTTTGAATTTGCCCACGTCCCTGATGATTGTGTTAATGGAGTGCTGCACTGCATGTCTCCTCTGGCTTGGGATTTAGGTTGTCATGGCTAAAAGTCCTCTGCCAGCCCAGGCCCATGTGCAGCAGCTCAAGGTGTCCTCCCCAGAGTGCAGTGAGTGGCCAGTCCCAAGCTCTGGGTGATGAGAAAGATGAGTAAGGCTTTAGACCAGATCTTGGAACACTTGACCTCAGCATGTTTTCTGGAAGATC